ACATGCATGTCAAATGAGATAGACAAAACAAATATGACATGAATCTATACAAGTGACAGAATATGAAGCATGCTAAACAATGTAAGTATGAAATGCATCCAATGTGGAATATCATAGGCATTGGGCATATATGAGATAGCGTGAACATAATACATGATGAATGAAGTATGTGTATGAGATCTGTGAAGTTCGATCAATCATAAAAAGGTTTGAGATCGATCTCAAAACTTCGATCGATCTGAGAAACTGAAAAACTAAGTTCGATCGATCTCTCAAGATCGATCTGAGAAATAAGTTCGATCGATCGAACTGTGCGAAGATGAAAATCGCAAGGTCACAGATCTGTGACGTGGATGGCACGGGGCCTTCACGAATAGCGTCGTGGACCCATCAACACAACATACAATCAAAACTATTCATTTTACAAAACACATACTCCCAAAATCAATTCAAAAATAAAAAATATACAAAGCATATAAACACAGTGCTTCAAGCTTCATCAATGGTGGATTTCATCAACAATATACCATGGATTCAACATTTAAAACATGTATTTAACAACTTGAAGCTTGAAGTCAAAGATGGGGTTTGGATCTTACCCAAAATCGAGGAGAGAAGATGAGATGCGAAAGGGGTGATGTAAACTCAGATCCGAGAGGAGAGAGAAGAGAGAGAGAGAGTTGAAGCTCACTGGATCTCACCGGAGATTCGCCGGAGATGATGATGAAGATGGGTACACAGTGGCAACGAGAATGAAGGACTGAGGGTTTGGAAAAAAGGGTGGATCGATCTAATGAATCAATCGTGAGACCCTCAGGTTCTAGTTTTTTTTTAAAAAAACTTTTCCCGTCCAGTTCGATTGATCGAACTGAGATTTCAGATCGATCGAACTGTGATGATCTCTCTTCAAAGTATTTTTAGAATTTTTAAATTTTTTGAAAAATTAAAAACTAAAATTAAAAATTAAAATAGAAAAATAGAATATATTTTTGGATTTTTGAAAAATAGAATAAAGTAAAATAAAATAATTTTGGATTTTTTTGAAAATTAAAAAGTCAAATAAAGTCAAACAAAGGTCAAAATAGAGAATTGAAGAACGAAGATCGATCTGAACAAAATGTTCGATTGATTAGACAAAGAGCAAAAATATACAGGTTTTTGGTTCAAAAATTTGGTTAAGTGTTGGAACTCAAGATTGATCGAACTTTGAAGTTGGATTGATTGAAGAACTTCAGATCGATCTTGAAATGTTTTCGATTGATGAGACAAAAAGCTGAAATATGCAAGTTGATGTAGGTTCATAATTTTTCTAAGTGTTGGAGCATGAGATCGATCGAACTTTGAAGTTGGATCGATCTAAGGTCTTCTGATCGATCTGAGAATCAGTTCGAACGATGGGACAGAGAGGTGATTTGGATGCAGGTGGATGCAGGTCGAAAATTTTTCTAAGTGTTAGATGCAGATGGAAGCCAATATCTAGACTTTGCAAGAAATGAAATTTAAGATAGAAATGAGGTAGGAATAAAGTTTGGACACCCTACGAAATGTCGTGCTAGTCTTTAACGTCTCTAGCAAGACGTTGGGCTCTTTTAGCCCGGATCAAAGATCTTGTTATGTGTCCCCTCCTTATTTGGGTGATAGATACTTTGAACTCCACCCAACAAATGGTTCTTTGAAGAACTTGTTGGATTAAGTTCAAAAGAAGCTTTTGGTCCCTTGTTAATGCAATTTTCTATGTTTTCATACACCGGGTCAACTAGATGTGCAGCTTCCAAATGTCTTTGAAAGACTTGACCCTCTATGTAATGTTTCAACCTCTGTCCATTAACCTTAAAAATGTTTCCCTTTTTCAAATTTTTGATTTCAACTGCCCCATGAGGTGCAACAGAGATGATTTCATAATAACCTTCTCATTTGGTTCTCAATTTCCCAGGAAAGAGTTTCAGTCTAGAGTTGAAAAGCTAAGCTTTTTGATCGGGTTCCAAAGACTTTTTCACAATATGTTTATCATGAAAGTTTTTGGTTCTTTCTTTGTAGAGTTTGGCATTATCATAAGCATTGTGTCTCAATTCTTCTAACTCACTCAATTGAAATAGCCTATTCTCTCCGACTTTATCAAGGTTAAGATTGAGCTTTTTAACCGCCCACAAGGCTTTATGTTCTAACTCAACCGGAAAATGGCAAGGCTTTCCATATACAAGCCTATAAAGAGACATGCCAATGGGAGTCTTATATGCCGTCCGATAAGCCCACAAAGTATCATTTAGCTTCCTTGACCAATCCTTCCGGGTAGTGTTAACCATTTTCTCAAGAATATGCTTAATTTCCCGGTTAGACACTTCAACTTGCCCACTTGTTTGAGGATGGTAGGGAGTGGCTACCTTATAAGTGACGGAGTATTTAAGAAATAAATGCCTTAGGAATTGATTGCAAAAATATTTTCCTTCATCACTTATTATAGCCCTTGGCATACCAAAACGAGCAAAGATATTGGATTTAATGAATTGAATGACCACGGAGTGGTCATTTGTTTTGGTAGTACATGCTTCCACCCACTTAGAAACATAATCAACGACAAGAAGAATGTATTGAAAACTATAGGACATAGGAAATAGACTCATAAAATCAATGCCCCATATATCAAAGATCTCAATAACAAGTATATTGGTCAAGGGCATCATATCTCTTCTAGACATTGTCCCAATCTTTTGACATATCTCACATGATTTGCAAAATTATAGGCATCTCTATAAATAGTGGGCCAAAAGAGCCCACTTTGAATAACCTTCAAGGTGGTCTTCTTTGCACGAAAATGCCCACCACATGCAAGAGTGTGACAAAACACTAGGACACTTGGAATTTCACTCTCTGGAATGCATCTCCTCACAATTTGATCCGGACAATATCGGTACAAGACAGGGTCTTCCCAATAGTAATTCCGGATGTTGGCAAAGAAACGATTCTTTTCGTTCTTCGACCAAGAAGTTGGTAGCTTGCCTACTGCCAAATAATTCACAATGTCGGCAAACCAAGGCATTTTTCCATTGGAAATTTGAAAGAGTTATTTTCAAAAACTTGATGGTGGCATGTATAAATTAAATACATTGTGATTACATGTATTAGTGTTTTCACCAAGTTTCAAAATTAAGGGCCCAACTTGAAATAACCCGAGCCCCGCCCGAAAATTTGTGGGCTTGGGCAATATTTTTCTAATTTCGGTTTGGGCCTAGGCTATATATTTTGAGCTTGAATTTAATTCGGGCTGGGTTTGGGTTGATATGAATGAAACCCGAAGCACAACCTGAGCCCGAAAATATTATATGTATTTATAATTATACTTAAATTACAAGAGTGTATTAGCCAATGTAGTAGTGTGCTTGGGATTCATGCTTAAGGTTTTAGGATCAAGACATAGGTGTAGCATTAATTGATTTATTTTTTACACACAAATTCTTCGGAGATGGGCTCGGGCTGGACAAATTATATATATATATATATATATATATATATATATATATATAGCTAATCTTCTATTAATGCATTATTTTATTTTCTTCTTTTTTTTGTTTTGTTTGAATTATCTTTAAATGGATTCATTATTTCCTTCTTCGATTTGGTTTCTTTTTTGAGTTATTATTATATTTTTTTTTTACTGTTGATGGATTATGTATATATTAAATATTATTTATTTATATTTTAGATGTGAAGTTTTAATACTGTAAATTTTAATTGTAGTAAATTATAGAATTAAATTTTCTTTGAACTAAAATTGTATAATTGAGTTTTAGTTTTTTTGTAAAAGATAAAAGTAAATGATTTGGTAAAGAGATAGAGAAATATAGTGGTAATGTGATGATTATACTTATTGAATTTTAGTTAAAATAAAATTGTATAATTGAGACATATAGTGGTGATGAGATAATCACACTTTAGAGATAAAGATGATTTAATGAGTGATAAATAATTATAGATGATAACATAGGATAATTGATACACTTTCCCTATTTTTATAGAACATTAAAATCTAATATATATAATGGTTTAATGAGAGATAGATAATGAGAGATAGATAATTATAGATTATAACCTATGGTAAATAATTAGTTTTGAAAAAGAAAAAACAGAAGTCAAGAATGAAAGTAAGACAATTAAAAATTTTTATAGAACATATATAATGGTTTAATGAGAGATAGATAATGAGAGATAGATAATGAGAGATAGATAATTATAGATTATAACCTAAGGTAAATAATTAGTTTTGAAAAAGAAAAAACAGAAGTCAAGAATGAAAGTAAGACAATTAAAAATAATTATTTTTAATTGTCTTACTTTCATTCTTGACTTCTGTTTTTTCTAATTTTTAATTGTAATTATTTTTAATTGTCTAATTATTTTTAATTGTCTTACTTTCATTCTTGACTTCTGTTTTTTCTAATTTTTAATTGTTATTATTTTTAATTGTCTTACTTTCATTCTTGACTTCTGTTTTTTTTTAATTTTTAATTGTCTTACTTTCATTCTTGACTTCTGTTTTTTCTTTTTCAAAACTAATTATTTACCGTAGGTTATAATCTATAATTATCTATCTCTCACTAAACCATTATTTAGTCCATGCCACTCAAGAGTCACGACTCTTGTACTTCTTCCCCTAGCCCTCTAGAGTCCTTCCCCCAAGTGTAGTCGTCTTTTCATTGTTATGAAATTGGATAGGAGTCCAAAGTTCACAAACACCTCCAACTCAGTTTCAATCCAACGATTTATGGTCGGTGAATTTCTTTCTTCTTTCTCTCTCTAAATCTCTTGTTCTCTCTCTATCTATTTACTAACATTTTCTCTGAATTTTTAGGTGTTTTTTTTTTAAAAACAAAAAAAAAAAACAATTATTTTATTATTTTATTTTTGCATACTGTGATTTACTGCGATGAGATTCTGAAACCTTAATTCTTATTCAGTACGTCCTTCTCTCTTGGCCAAGCCACAAGCAACACCTTTTTTGAAGAATGAAAAGACTGCACAATCACAATGTAACACCACCACCGCCAGAGAGCCACCATGAAGAAGAAGAGTACTCTGAGGACAGAGACCTCCAGCTTGGAATCATTGCCTCTCTCTCGGTCCCAACACCCAATAGGTCTAAAAAAAGGATCATCAACCTCTCTCACGAAAACCCAATTAACGACAAGGATGATGCTAAGGTCATTGCTTCACAGAAGGCCTCTCGGAAGAGAAGAAAAAAGAAATTAAGGGTCAACGAAACAGGGGAGTCTTCTAATTCTAATTCTCATACTCTAACCTTTGTGTGTGAAATATGTGTTGAAACAAAGCCATACAACGAGTCTTTTCGCATAATCGGTTGCTCACATTCTTACTGTTCTGACTGCATCATCAAATATGTGGCTTCAAAGCTACAAGACAACATTACACAGATTCGATGCCCTGTTTCGCGGTGTGGAGGGTTCTTGGAGCCAGAGCATTGTCGCCCCATTTTGCCGGCGGAGGTGTTTGATAGGTGGGGGAGTGCCCTCTGCGATGCGGCGATTCCGGGGTCGGAGAAATTTTACTGCCCTTTCAGGGATTGCTCTGCTCTTTTGATTGATGATGACCGAGAAGATGGAGAGGTTATTACCCAATCAGAGTGTCCCAATTGCAACAGGTTGTTTTGTGCAGAGTGTAAAGTGGCTTGGCATTCGGGGATTGAATGCGCGGATTTTAAGGAAGATGAGAGAGAGGAGGAGGAGGAGGAGGAGGATATTAAGTTGATGAAGCTTGTTAAGAAGAAGAAGTGGATTAGGTGTCCCAAATGCAGATTCTATATTGGGAGATCTGAAGGCTGTCGCTTTATGCAGTGCAGGTTTGTTATTTGTATTTTATTTTATTTTTTTGTTATTGCAATTTCTATAGACAAACTTTGATAATTGTAGAACTGCAAAAACATTCATAAAAGAACTTAAGAAAAACTTTTAAAATTCAAAAATACCATTTTTTTTTTTTTTTCCCTTATTTGCCCAGCAATATATTTATAATTAAAAAAAGACTCATCACCGTCCACAAAAATTTTAAAAATCAAAATTCAGGAAAAAAAAAATTCTCCTTTACTATTTATTATTATTTTGGTTAAAAAAATTTTATCGGATTACATTATTGTTAATGGTTGCTATCATTGAACTAAATTTTTAACTGTGTCACTTCACATGCGTGGCTAGAGCCTCGAGTACTGAAAGAGTCCTGTAGTAAACATGAAATCATTCCTCTTTGCTTATCATTGGGATATCATGTTTACATCTTGAAGCAATTGGGTCGATTTTTTTTCTATCATTTTTCATTCATGCTAACTTGCACTATGTGGTTTTGAAACTATTGGGATATCATGTTTACATCTACTTGGTGGCATACTTGGAGCTACTTACTAAAAAAAAATGGACTAGCATGACAAACAAATCAAGAGGCAAACAAAAAAAATAAATAAAATTATTATAAAATAATATCCTAATCAATGAGTAAAAAAAAAAAAAAATTGACAAATATAAGAATATTGGTTATTTTTTATTGAAAACATTTATAACTGTTGTCGTAGTACTTGCACAAATTGAGTTCAAAAAATTATTACAATAAATTTAAATAGTACACTACATAATTTGTTATCTTCGTAGATAATGTGTGATACAAATGTGATATGACTTCAAGTTTACAATCTATAAAAACCTTGTGCTTCAATTTGTACGTGGAACAATTGGAAGGAAGAAGGGGATGTAGGAAAGATGAAAGACGATGAGTGGCAAGGAAAGGAGGATGGAATCATAGTTTGCGATTTCACCACTATACTATTACAGATCAATAAATGTTGAGGCCCTTCCCTTCCCTTTTCTTCCACTTTGGAAAGAATGAATACAGTGGCTTTGGATGAAAAGTTCCCCTCCTCTTTATCTTCTCCCAAACCATCAAAATTCCATCCTTTTCTTCCTTCCCCTCCTTTCTTTCCGCCTCTAACCTCCTGCCATCTCCCTTCCCCTCCTTTCTTTCCGCCTCTATCCTCCTGCCAAACAGAACATTAGCGTCAAATTGAGCCTATAGTCAAGCATGATCACAACTCTTTATCTAAGGACTAATTGGTTAATATACTTGAGAAATTTTCATTGTTTATATTATATTTTACCATATTTATTCATTTATTCCCCTTGTGTACGATTGCAGATGTGGACACACTTTCTGTTACGAGTGCGGAGGGTATAGGAAAACAGAGTTCGCCTCTCATTGGTGTAAGCGCTGAGTCTTCATGGATACTTATGAGGTCTCTTCCACAAGGTAAACGTAGAAAGAGTAATGCACAAAGTAGTGACTCAAATGGAAATATTAGTATTTTTTATGTTAAACCATTTTTGAAAATCAATTCAGAATGGAAACTACATCTCTAATGTTAGTATCGTTTTGGAGGCATTTCAATTGTTATTCGTGTGAAAAATAGTTTATTTCTCTTTTGACTTGATAAGTTATTGATGTTGGGTTTGTTACTTGAAATTCTTCTTCTTCTTCTTCTTCTTCTTCTTCTTCTTTATTTATTTTTTTATTTTTATTTTTTGGGACTTCTCAAAGTGTGAATGAGTAAGAGGGGGTTTTTGACATCTATTATTGCATATTATCTTTCTTGATACATTATGGTGAAATATTGAGCATAGTATTGAAGTTGAGTAAACTATCTTAAAATATTACTTCATTCGTCCTAATATAGATGTTCATTTTGAGAATTGTGCTTAATATACATGAATATTATATTATCCCTATGTATGCTTGTGTGATTGATGTGATGATGATGCATTCACATTACGTGATGAAAGAGAAATTTAATTCTCAACCGACTATAGAGTGGGTTAGAGAGAATTAACATCTAAAGAGTTGAAAGATTGAAATTCTTATCATATTTAATTTGCTTCGAGTATTTTTTTTACTTAGTAAAATTGCACTCAGGAAATTATATAGGATCAAAATCTACATGACCTTTTTCAAATACTCTTTATTTTTGTGCTCGGGTGGAAAAAGAGAAATGTGTTGCTAGTTACGGTAGTGGACTTGTGTGAGAAGGGAGTGTGGACTTTTAAATGAGTGATGTTATTTCATTATGACTATTGATACTCACACCGAATATTTTATATCAAAATAAAAAATAACTAAGTAAATAGTTTTACTTCTCACTTCTTTATTTGTTAATAATTTACTACAATTATTGGATGTAAGAATTATTTTCCTTTCATTATTAAAGTTCTTTGAAATTTTTGCCTCTCTAAGACCATCTCCAATGCTAAAAGTCATTTTTATAGGTTAAATCTATATTTTGATAGGTGTTACAGTATCAAAATGCTACATTTTATCAATTCAACTTCAATGGTGCATTTCATGCAAATGCTATTTTTTAACACAACCACCATTCTTTTTCAACTACCATTCACACCATACATATTTGCATCAATAATATTAATATTAGGCACATTCCAAATCAAGTTGTAGGCATTAGAAGGAAACTAAAATTAAACCTAATTATAAAATATAAAAAAACAAAAATCTAAAATATTTGGTCAAAAAAAAAAAAAATTATTATTATTTTTTTACCACTATTTGTGAATTAATTTTTTTATATAATATATATTTTTTTCTTTTTTGAAAATTTATATATATTATATATATTTGATTATATTATTATTATTAAAAATATATATATTTTTAGGGCAAATCATTTCAGCCTAATCGCCTCCATCTCTATTCTCGTTCTCAACTCTGAGAACTTAACTTGCCGTATCTCTCTCTCTGTCTCCCTCTCTGCAACTGCAAACTACAAAATCTACAAGAATCAGAAGTTCAAAACCCCATATATTTCAATTTATCTATCTGTCTGCAAGAATCCAAAGTTCAAAACCTATTACCTATATTAAAACCCGTTCAAAAAATAAAAGCCCGTATCTTTCAGTTTCCATCGCCCGCTGTTCCAGTTCGGGTTCGCCATTCACAAGCTTTAGCCGCTGTCTCTCAACTCTCAAGCTTGCCCCCCTCTCTCTCTCTCTGTGCACCCTCTCTCTCTTTGTGCAACTGCTAACTTGTATGTATGGGTTTTGTTATAATTTTTTTTCTAAATCAACTAATTGAGGTCTGTAATTCTTGATTTTGTGTATGCATATATATATATATTAAGGTCTGTAATCCTTGTTTTGTAATCAAAAGTTCAAAACTCATATGGCAAAGATAAATTTTGGCAACCAATATAGCAGCCCATTGGAAAGCCCAATTTTAATCTACCTGTTATATTTTGAATTGACAACCAATATATATCAACCCTATTGGAGATGCTCTAAGCTTTTTCGAAAAGTAATAGCATAAATTATAAAAGGGCAAAAAATTTGTGCCATATGCTACCATTTCTTGGGCCACTCAACGATTCAAATCTGCATTTGGGTCCCACCAATCTAAAATATGGCTAATGGATACCAAATCTAATTAGCGAGCTTACACTCATTTGAAAGGGAATCAACTCTACAATAATAATATGGGTTAAGTGATAAATTTTGTGCAGAGCAAGTCCCTACTTTTTGAAAAAGTGTATACAGGTACATAAAATTTTAAAAAGGTGCGTAACCGGTCCCTCTGACAACTTCTTGCAAAAAGTAAAACTTAAAACCCCATTTCACCCTTTTGTTTTCCATTTTGCCCCTCACAATTTGTGCAGAAAAGACCCACAGTTTCCTTGCTTTCCTCGCTTCTTCGCACCCTCACTTTCCTTGCTTCTTCTTCTTCTGTTTTTTTTTTTTTCCTTGTCTTTCCCTTTCTTCTTATCCTATAAAGCCAGAGAAGTGAATCTAGTTCTGGAAGGTCAGAGCAGTAAACAGAAGATCATCAGCACATGCTATAGATGTTTCCATATGACTTTGTGGACGTGTCACATGTTTTGATTTATGGTCTGTGTCCAATTGAAGTGAACGTTGAAAGCCATATATAGACCAAGGCCCTATCTTGGACATAAAGTTCTATTTTCTACAAGTTCGAATGCTTAAGCCTAATGATATAAAAGATGCATGTGGCACTGTAAGATCAAAAATAAAGTGTCACTGTGGTGGGCAACTGGATTTCTTAGTTTCAGTTTTCTACTTCATTTATCTAGTACCATCTATTATGGCATGCATTTGTATCTTATGTTACATGCTGCACGTGTCTAGAAGTTCGATTTGTCCAACTCTCGTGCCTTACTAAGTAAGAAAACTTGGACACATCATTTAAAAGCAAAGCAGTATTTTCATGCAATAAACGAGAATGAGAGGAGAAGCATATCAACCTGGTAAATTGGAATGTCTGAGAATTACAAGGGAGATACAGAACCCATAATTGGACCAATGTTGTGCCATGTTGACATGGGTAAGATTGGGGTTCAAATTGAGAGTTGTGGGTTTCAGTCCGGTGAGAGTTCAGAATAGTTTCAGCAATCAACTCCAATGAACTACATAAAAGACTGAGTGTTGTCCATGGTGAAACAAACAGAGGCTACAAGTTTCACTTGTTAGTAGTAATTCAACTGAGAGTATCAACAATCTTCAGTTCCAGTGTGTTCTTGTTTTGACGGGATCCAATTCTGTGTGCCGTAGTTGAGTGGGGAGCCATGAAAAACTGTTCCAGTAAGCTTTCGACAGACCCAACCACGACGATTTGTAGTGGCAACAATCTTATGCGACGTCGATGATCATGGGAGCAATATGCGGCGACGGTGTTTGGACGGAATCTGTGCAGCGATGGAGTATTGTAAGACTTTTCAAGCGTGCACTATCAAAATTATTTCCCAAATAACAGGTCACCATGTAGTGCTCTCTTGGAAGGAAATTGATAAATCAATTAAAAGTGTGAAAAGCAATAAGAGGCAACTCCGGCGACCATGATGCCGGCGATCAAAAGCTGACATATTTGAAGCTTGATAAACCCAGAAACTTCAATGAGAAAAAACCGACAAGAACCAACGAACTCCACCTTGTATCTTTCCGGTGAGCTGCATGAATAAGTCTGATGAGTTTCATTCTGCATCAACAGTTCCGGCAAGCTTGATTCAAAGACTGAACAACTCCGGTATGATTTATTTAAGGGCAACAAATGCTCCAGTACTTCTCATCACCTGCAACATATATTTGAGGGAAATTAAAAGAAGCTTGACCAGAATCTTAAAAGAAGCTTGACCAGAATATTAAAAAAAACGGCGAACCCAAACTGGAACAGCGGCTGAAGCTTGCGAACGGCGAACGGCGAACCTAAACTGGAACAGCGGGCGATGAAAATCGCCATCGACCATCATCAGAAAGTCAAAATTAACGTTACTGAAGTCGCCATCGACCTTCAACGTACCAAAATTGAAGGTGAACTTGTCACCGCCGTTGGCAAGTGTCGTCGTCGCCGGCATTGCTTGAAGCTTCGGCATTCATGATAAACGAATTCAAAGCGCCTGATTCGTCCATCTGGCCTCCTCCAGAACCGTCAACACAAACTTCTCCACCATCATGATTGAAACCCCAATGTCATCAACATCGAGATTAAGATCCAACATGACTATCGTTCAAATGTGTGTATATATAGAGAGAGAGAGAGAGTTTCAATTTTGAGCTTCAAAGTTGTTTCTACTAAAATCGAACATCATTCAACGCGTTAAACTAAAAACAAAATTCAAACGAACCGATTAGAGCAGACAATCAATCCAATTAGAAAATTCTAAAATCGAAAAAGGATCAGAAATTAGAGAATCAAGTGATCGTAGCTAATATTGTAGGTAATTATAGAGAGAGTTTTGATCAACAAGGTGATGATGGAGAGAGAATAAGATATTTTAAGAACTCTCCGTAAAAACACACACACATATGTATATGTGAAGTCAGCGAAAAAACCTCCGGTGACCGGAGAAGATGAAGAGAGATAGTCGGGGAAGTTGTGGAGAGAGAAGTTTAAGGGCATGTTTGGTTTTAGATTTAATTATATTCAAGTTTATGTTATCTCTATTTTATACAATTTGAGGTTTATATTATCCTTCTGCCAAACAAACTCTATTTTATACAAATTTGGACAAAAAGGTCATTTTACATGGCCGGTATTATAATCATTAATTTATTCAACTGAAGTGAGGGTATTATCGTCATTTTACACCATCAGGGACCCAATCGCACTAAATTGATAGTATAGGGAGATTTTTTACCACACAAAGACTGATATGCACTATATCGATAGTAGATAAGAGTTTTTTGCACTTAACCCTAATAA